GGAGTATGCCTCATTGCACTTAATGGGACTTACCTGGGAACAGACATGTTTAGGACTGCACACTTCCTCTAGCTGGATCATTTTCAGATGGCTATCTTTCACCTGACACCTTTGGACACAGGCAGCATGATCTTAAATATGTTTGCTCAGAAGTAAGTCCCAGTGAGTTCAAGAGGATAGGATTTCCTTCTCATGAATCCTCCACTGGGGCTTTTCCCCTTTATATTGAAATCATAGTCCTTTTTTCTATTTTCTGTCACCATTTAATGAGCTCTATTCAGCTCGGGTAAATTTAAATAAAATGTTCTGAGTACAGAACAGAGGAAACTGTTTCCCTTGATCTTCTGTCTAATTTAATCACCTAAATGATTAGTGCATTTTCATGGACAGAACACAAGTCCTTATATTTCAGTGAGTCCATTCCATCTGTTGAATAATTTTTTTAAAAAATTAAAAATAAAAAAAGAATGCACTGCAGGCAAATGAAAATGTTTTGGTGTTTAGGACCTGAGATCCAATCACTGATGGTACTAATTTCACAGGTGTTGTGTTTAGCAGCATTGATGTTTCTGAAGAATTTAAGAAATGTGGACAGCTACTGCAACAATAATTCTCTTGGCCAAATATATCCTCAGAAGAGCCAGGATGGTTGCAGGAATGAACAGGTACATATTGTACCAATACGAAGTGGAGGGATACATATATTGGATTGGATCCAGACCTAGAGATAAGGAAGTTACCTTCACTGATTTGACTTTAGCAAAATGTGAATCCAGCCCACTGGAGTCTCCTCCTCCTTCTCTTTGATATCTCCCTTTTAGCAGAATTAGAATTTGGAGCCATCACTGTTAGTGGAAACAGACTGAGAGCACAAATCTGCTTTGCTATGGAGTTGCATTTGACCTTGACATTTAACTTTAAAAGGGCTTAACAAACTTAATCATTTCAAAAGAACTTTCCCCCTTCTTTCTCTTTCTCAAAAATGCAATGTTAATGCACTGAGTAGTCTTAAAAAGATTGTAATGTGTGTCTTGTTTATTGGGCATTTTCAAGTTGCTGCCTTAATAAAACTAAAGTCCTTCACTTTACCTGCTGTTTTCATTTTTGATGCGGAAGCTAGAGGGATGTTGTAAGCCACCTTGCAAGGGCTGTGTTCCCAAAGGATCCGCTAGATGACCATGGCCTGAAGCAGCTCTTCCCAACTGCATGCCTGCCAGATGCAATCCACTGCATCTTCCATTATGGATGTGCTGCTGGGGTAGTTGGAGTTGTAATGCAACGTATCCGGAACCTGGGCAGCAGGCTGAGAGCAGCTGCCTAGAGCTTATGCTTACATTCGAAAGGAATGCCCACTGTGCCAGAGCTGGGGCGTTTCTGTCAGCCTGGGGTGGGGGGATATTCAGTTTTTGAGAAGCAGTCAGAAGCCATGTTCCCATCTTGGATGAAGATAAAGGAAGTGGGAGCAAAGGCCTAATGGGTGTGGTGAAAATACCAAAAGGCTATTTTATCTGCAGGCTCTTTCTGTCAGTGGCTAAGACTTAGGACGGGCATTTCCACCTTTTAGAATGGGGGGAGCGCATAAAAGCCACGAAAGATGAGCGGTGGTAGGAGCAGCTGAAGGGGTGCCTTTGACCCCCCAGTCTGAAACAATCTCCTGACTGTAAGGACTGGCACTTGGGTCAGTCTTGCAAATTATGGAGGTGACAAAAGAGGCACCTCATGGCTTGAGGGGGAGAGACTCTATGACTTTAACACTTAGTATCATACTTCATCTGTTATGCTTAAAAAAACAGATGCAAGGAGTTTAAATATTTTCAATAAAAGTATGCATTCATATAAAAGAGTTTATAGAAACAGAGCGAGTCAGAAGGGACCTCACGGGCCATCTAGTCTGACCTCCAGCACCAGCTGGCTCTGCTCACGACATGCCCACCATGTGCATGTCCAGCCTATCCTTGAACACCCGCACCGATGGGGCCTCAACAACCTCCTGTGGAAGCCCATTCCACACCCTCGGGGTCCTGACTGTCAGGAAGTGCTTCCTAGCATCTAAATGGAACCTTGGTTCCCTGAGCTTTGCTCCGTTGGAGCACATCCTGCCTTCCTCTGCAGGGAAGAACAGGTCTCTACCCATCTCCGTGTGACACCCCCTCACATACCTGTATGTCGCCAACATATCCCCTTTGAGTCTCCTCTTCTCCAGGCTGAAGAGACCCAGTTCCCTCAGTCTCACCTCAGTCTCGCCTATGGGAGTGTTATGAACCCATGCCTCTAATTCAAGCAGAAACAATGCAGTTTGTTCAAAAGCATTCCTTTCTGATGAAGCAAGATCTCTTTGTTACCCCACTTTAATTTCTTCCAAGTTTTCCATGCTGATAACATCTCCGTTCAGAAGTGAAAAGATTCACCACAGCATTTCACAAATTTACCTTGAAGAATTCTGTTAGTATAAACCAGTGTAAACCAAGGCATTTTGAAAGCTTGTTGGTTGCAATAAAGTAAGTTATTTCACAACCCATGATTTTTCTTCTCCTGAAGCTGGTCGATAGGGTTGCAAAAGGTTTTATCTGTAAACATGTGGCTGTAATGTGGCTTTCTATTATTCTGTATTAATTTTTGCTCAGCCTCTTATTAAATGGATGTCAAGAAATGGACCCAAGCATGGAGAAATGCTAATGTGTCCCTTTAATCTGGCACCATTATATCTTTAAGCAAAGATTGGTTTCTTTTTTGAGTGCAAAACCTTCATTTTTGCTTAGTTGCTATAGCAAGTTGCCATGGTAACAGCCGCTATTAAAATCCTTTAAACTATTTATTAAAATCAAGGGCGAAAGAAGCAAAGCAGATTAAAATAAAATAAAATAAAGATTATACAATGCCCTTGCTCCTTTTAAATATGATGCACCATTTATTAAGATTATGGCTATAATGATGTCATCAGTCCAAACCATCCATTACCCAAGCAGAATGAACTGCTTCAGACAGTCCAGGACTCTAGACCCTTATTGTTAGCATCCCATCCCCAGAAGAAGAGGCTCCTGCTCAGAGAGAGAATTCTGTTTCAGAAAAGGTGGCACGAGGCTTCCACTTCATCAGGACCTAGTTTCCAAGAAGAGTTGCCCACATCCAGAAGAGCTTGCGTCAGCCTTGTTGGACTCGGAGAATTCCAGCCATGTGGACACCAGCGTCCTACAGCCTCCTCCATTCTGCTGCAGCCAGAACCTGTTCAAAGAAAAGGCTTTAGCCAGCATTGAGGCAGGGCTAACCGATCTAAAGGAAGCCAAATTGCCACAAGTCTCATTCACCATCTATCATACTTTGGACCAATGCACAGGCTAGCCTGTCAGGCTTCCAGCTCCAACAACACTCAGAATTTTCTGTGCCTCTGTTTTGCTCCTGTTTCTGAAACCTGGTCCCACAGAGGAGAAACACTTGCTAGGACAACTCTGCAACCAAGGTCTCAATAGCACCTAAACAAGTTTAAGCCCTTGCCACAGAAGGCACGAACCAGAACAGTTGCACTGTTTCCACCAGCACATATGCAGATGGGTGTCCTTTCCAAGCTGGTGTTGCCATTAATGCATGAAGAAAAGACAAACATGGTTAGCACACAGCTAGTTATGGTTATGTCTTGTGACTGGTATCACAAACCACCAGTATCACAAATTCTGCAGGCTATTCAGCCTAGAGGGCTTCCATCCAAGAGAAAGGGCCACTTGAAGATGTTGCAGGTTGTGAGTGTGCCTATCGCTGTGGTTCCTGCTGCACATTCACATGATGGAAGTTCAAACCGGATCTCACACCCTGCATGGATAGGAACAGAAGACGCTGCCATCTGCCAGGTTGGAGCATGGATCCACCTAGCTGAGTGTGATCTGTATTGAGAAATGGGCAGAGAGTTTTGGTGGGGAAATTCTTCCTGCTCTATCTGGCAATGCCCAGGGTTGAACCTGAAGTCTTTTGTGTGCAAAGCGTGTATACTGCCATGGAGGCACAGCCTTTTCATATAGGTGTGCGCCCTCACTGCGGTTGCTCGTGTTCCTTTTTGTTCTCATATACCTGCATGCAAAGTATATGCACAGCTTATCAAATGTGTGTACACCCATAGATCAACTGATGCATTTCCTTGGAAAAATATTTTCAAGACACGTTTTCAGGACAAAGCAGTTGAGAGACTGCTGCTCACTGGAACTGGCTTTTCATGTAGGAAGTTCCACTGGCATCTTGCATTAAAAGCATAGCATGGCAGGTGACATGAAAGATGTTAAGAGCATGAAGAATGTAGCCACTGCCAGTCAGAGTAGACAAGACTGCGTTAGGTGGACAGAGTTGCAGCTTCCTAGGCTCAGCTCCCCAATGGATATGTACCAGAAGCATCCAATCCAATGGGGATGCCTGCAAGTCTCCAAACCTGGAGCACTGTGGCATCCCAGGCACGGCAGCAGAGTGGAGTTGATCACTTCCCAGCTCCTCCCTCCCTACAACTCAGTGGCACTTCAGATGGGAAGGGAAGGAGGTTGGAGCGAGGTGTTCCTGCTGCCCAGACTCCTCCCTCCTTGCTCCTTGAAATGCCAACAGCAAGGCCATGTTCATGCCTCAGAGATGAAGCCAGTACAGTCCTTTACACATGAGCTGTGGGGGTGGGAGGCTGGTTGTGGGATCCCAGCATGGATTAGGATCAGAACGGTTTTCCAACCTTGATCTGGGAATCCAAAGCATCTCATGGCCCTCCAGATGCTCTCTAGGGGCCATAAGCTGCCCATCTGTCAACTGTGGAGTGGCCCAGAGATATTTCCAATGCCTTCTCCATTAGATCCTAGACAAGTGCGTCAAGTCCTTTAGACAAATTCTTAACAAATTCTGATTAAACCACTAGGGCACTCCCGTACCTGACCACATCCTAAATGAAATATAGTGGCGAATCTGATGAATGGAAATTAATGAGATGACAAATTTCACCCACTGTCAGACTGGAGTGTCTTTAACTTCCTACTGTTGAAGAGCAATTGAATTCATATGGAGAAAATGAATGAACGGCTTTATTCAGATCAGTAAGTATAGAATTGCTACTAATGCAGGCTGGAGATAGTCAATAGTGCATGTGCTTGTGCTTTATCCAAACATACAAAATATTAAGGGAAATATAGTATGTTTGCATAATATGATGGATATAATTCAGTTTTCTTAAATGCTCATCAACACGGTCTTGGATATGCCCAGGAGGCTGAAACTCTTTTATTCCCTGGAGCTAGCAATTACAGGAATAAATCAGTAATCTAGATTAGTGTGTCTTTCAAGAACAATAAGTTAGTTAACAATAAGTAATGGGAAAAAGAAGAAAGGGGAAAGTGGGGTGAACAATGAATTGAGGATATGCATAATATGGATAAAATACATGGAGAGAAAGATGTCTTTCTTTTTCATAATACCAAAACCTGGCCTCATCCAATGTATTTGAAAGGTGGAAGATTTAGGGCTATTCTGAAGGTGTTTATTTTGTGATCTTGCATTCATGGAAGATTGCAGGGCCTTTTCCTAGGATAATCACCGCCCGGGGCCTCTCTTGAATTTTCCAGTAATTTTCATGGTTTTTTTTTTTTCCAGTGAGCAAAAGTCTGGAATTTTCCTGCATGGTGGCATGACTCATTGTTGTTGTTGCTGTTATGTGCTATCAAGTCATATCTGACATATGGCAGCCCTGTGAATGAAAGCTCTCCAGAATGTCCTACCCAGGACATCCCTGCTTAGCTGTTCTAAATTCAAGGCAGTGGCTTCCTTTATGGGGTCAATCTCTTATTTGGTCTTCATTTTCTTCAGCTTTCCCTTGCTTGATTGTCTTCTCCACAGAAGCCTATATTTTGACAATCCCATTCTATACCACAGTGCCACCTTGTGTAATGGAACATACAGGAGCACACGGAAAGGCAAAGAGGAACCCTCTGGAAAAAAGACCTTGTTGGAAGGACATTTTAACCCTCATAGAAAAGCATAGGAACATAGCAAGTCAGAAGGGTTCTCCTGGACCATCTAGTCTGACCCCCAGCTTCAGCCAGCTCCCCTCATGAAATACCTACCATGTGCATATCTAGCCTAACCTTGACACAATGGAAAAAGAAACCTCCATAAAGTGTTGAGTCATATGCCTACTTGAAAGAAGTCCTCAGGACAGGCAAAAGGAAGTGTGACTTCACAGAGCTTATGGTTAATTACAGAAATTATTTCCATGAGATGTAGGTAAGAGTCATCCATTTACATGGCTTTCAAAGGGGATTAGGCAAATCCTTGGAGCAGGGAGCTCTCCAGGGCTACTAGCAATGTTGGCTAAATTCTACCTCCAGTATCAGAGTCATGCTGAGGATCATAAATGGAAGGCTTTTACTGAGGTCCAGCTTCTGGCCTTCCCAGAAGCATCTTGTTGGCCACTGGGGGAGCAGGATACTGGATAAGACAGGACATTGGCCATGCCAGCTGGTGCTATTGGGAGTTGTAGTCCAACAGGTCTAGAAGATACCTTGCCAAAGAGATTTAGCCTGAATGGTCTCCTCATGTATCAACGAGCCTCTGGAGATGAAGGTTAGCTCTTATTATTATTACATTACATTTCTATACCACCTATACCCAAAGCTCTCTGGGTGGTTCACAACATTTAAGTCACCCATCCAGATTTCAACCAGGCCTAACTGTGCTTAGCTTCTAAGATTTGGCAGATCAGGCACTTCTGGCTATACGGAAGCTCTTACAACTGAGTCTGGCAGAGCACCAACATACACGGACATTGGACTTCTTGGCAAGCAGCATTTACTGAGGCTTCTTCTTCCATTTTCTTTGTGAGAGAATTCAAGCATCCTTTCCATGAAGTTTTGCCCTAGGGCCTTTCTTCTCTGCCTTTCTATATGTTCCATTACACAGCACAAGCTGGTAGTATGGTATAGAGAAGAAAGGGCAAACATACAGCAATACGGCACTATCTAGGAAATTTTCTCACTCTAATAAAAGCTGTGAAAATGGCTGGAAAACTCAGGGGAGGCCCTGGAGGGTGCTGACACTATGAAAAGACCCTGCAAGCTTCCATGAGTGAAGGATCACAACAGCATCATAAATACCTTGCGTAAGGATGCCCTTAGTGTACGTTATTTTGATATTCAAGTGGGATGTTTCTGGCCTGTGTTAGAGTGAAAAGCAGCAAGCTTTCTTCTTGTAGAAGAAGTTCCACATGTTATACTCACGACCTCAAAGCACCAGAGGTTGCTTGAGCAAAAGGAAGGCTGGCATGCTTCCCAGTCCATGTAAATCTACCTATGAGCCATCAGATGCTTAGCGAATAATGAATAACAGGAAAGTTATGAAAAAGAGAGAGGGAGGTCGAAAGGTTGTCGCAAGGAGGGAGGCCAGGATCTCTTCTCGATCATACCAGTGTGCAGGCCTTGGAATAACAGGCTCAAATTACAGCAAGCCAGGTTCTGGCTGAACATCAGGAAGAACTTCCTGGCTGTTAGAGCATATGACAATGGAACCAGTTACCTAGGGAGGTCCTGGGCTCTCCACAGTGGAGGCATTCAAGATGCAACCGGACAGCCATCTGAGAAGGATGGTTTAACCTGGAGTCCTGCACTGAGCAGAGGGGTTGGACCCCATGGCCCTCTATGCCCTTCCAACTCTACTATTCTGTGATGCTATGAAAGAGATTGAGGTTGGGAGAGAGTGATTCATGTTCGCCAATTTTCTTGAATGATCAAAGCTAGATTTCTAACATTGGAAGAATGATGGATACTGAGAGTTCTAATCCACAAAATAGTGTTACAGATACCCATAGGAAGCTGCTGCCATTGAAATAAAAGCAACTGCTTTGATTAGTAGCAGGACATATTAAAGAAAATGTGATGGTTGAGCAAGGCCCATGTTCTCCTACTGATTTTTTAAAAAAGAGGTAGGGAACAGTGAGTTACTGCAGCATCTGACTGTATAAATTGCTCCCCTATATGAAAATGACCTGGCCTGTGACTACTCTTTTAAACTCAGACAGGCTCATTAACCAGGGCAGAGAGTTCCCACTCAAGCATTGCCAAAAGAAGAGGAAATGCATCTCCAAGCAGAGGATGACTATTTCATATGTAAATTCCTTCATATAGGTTCACAACGAGAAAAAAATAACAATAGAAATATTGCACACACACAAACACGCACACACACTAACTCATCCTATGGGGAGAAGACTGGCAAAGTGTCCTGTGTGCCTCATGGTGTTCAAGTGTCCTCGGCACAGTCCTCTGCCGAAAGCCATCCTGTGCAATTGCACTCCAAAGAGCATGAGCCATGAGGACAGATTCTGCCGGTGGTGAGGACTTGGAGAGCTGGCTGAGGAGGTTGGCTTGTGGCTCATCAGGTCACAATCTTCCACCGTGTGGTAAGGTGCACTATATTTCTATTTAAATTATAATGTTTATTTCTGAATTTCCTTCTCTGCGTATAAAATGCATATGCATATGTAACGCTGAATATCTTCCTCTTCTGCCCTCAGTTTTTCTGGAGTGCCAGCCCAGTTTTTTGCTGCCCAGGTGCCCCCTGTGGACGGGCAACGTCCACTGGACTTTTCTTCAGATAGAAACCACATTCACATAGCTCAGATCTCCAGGAAAAGAGGACTGTCTGAAAAGCAGGACACCTGGCTACCCTTCTTCTAGAGAGCCCAATATAGGATTTCCCATTGACCAGGGAAGGGTGGGAGAGGGAATGCCAGGGGCCAGGCTGAATTAGTTCACAGTTCCACTCACAATGCTGGAATCCATCACATATCACTAGTTTTCACTTTTCTCCACTTAAAAGTGTTCAATCCTGCACAGGGTTGCTGCAAAGTTTGCTGTTGCCTATGCTTGCATCCTATGCATATTGACTGAGGCATGCCGGGATCTGAAGGATTTCTGCCTATCTGTACCTGTACAGGACTGCACCCTAAGCATAAGTGCTTTGGAAAGGATTTGCTTTAAGAGAAGGCAGTTCTTTCCTTGGGGCTGAGGACTGGAGGAGGAGCTGGACCAGTGGCAGCTTGTCCATAGGAAGCAGCTGAGTGCCACTATGCACCACGGCTAGGGTGGCTGGAGAGGTGTCTTTTGCTGCACTGCCTCGTGTAGCAAAATGCCGTGGGGTCAGCCCTGGCTGGACATGGCTGTAGAGACCTGTCAGGTGGGAAACGGTAGTTGAGATGGATGTGGGAGAGGGGAACAGCTTGGGGTACTGAGAGCCACAGGTGGGGAAACATGTTAAGGTTGCGCAAAACATGTGTAATGCTAAACATCTTTACTCCCAAGCAAGTTCTCCTGAATTCGGTGGGCCTTGCTCTCAGGTAAGTATGTGCAGGATTGGACTCTCATTCCTTAGTAAATAAGCTCAAAGCTGCAACCTGCCTTTCCTACCAGTTTCCACAGGTCAGTCTAGATGTAAAGCTGGGAATTCACAATGCAGCTGATTTTAAAAACAAACAACCGGTAGCCAAAACAAAGGTAGCCATGCTGCTGTATTAGAAATATCAATCCAAACTCCACAGTTTGGCAATGCCACTCTTAGGAATTTAGCCTGGTCCTAATAAAAGTATCCAGCTTTGCATTTTGGTGCTTCAGAATGGCATTGTTGGACTCAAGGGGTCTGGATCTGGATGCTCATCCCAATTAAGAATGAGAAGAGTGAGAGATAGAAACACAGTATTTTATTCTGGAGAATAAAGTTTGATCACAGGGAAGTGGCAATTGACCATGAGTGCATGGCAGAGTCCCCTATTATATCTCTGTTGGGCAGTTAGCGCTGACAGATGCCCATTGAATCGAAATTCCTGCCATGATCACTGACTGGCACATTCAGATTCAGGTGGTCCCTGCACTTACCTGGGAGGCTGGGCTACCTGGAAGTTGGGCTGGGAACACGTGACAGGAGATTGCACAGTCTCTTGCTGCATGTGATGCTCTGATTGATTTGGACAATGCTTGGGATGTAACCAGCCTGCCCGGGCTTAATGCTGACCAGCCAGGTGAGTCCTACATTATGACTATGTGGTTGTCAGAAATTCAATTGGGAGTTGTGGGACCCCATTCTGTCTAAATGTACATAGAATTTTGCCAAAAAGTTTATGTCTTTCAGACATTCTGAAGGGTCTAGTACACTTCTCAGCTCCAAGACATATTAAAATACATATGAAATGTATAATTTTGGGAAGAAAACATTAAAATACATATTGTTGTAAAATGTCTTTTAAATGCACATTTGCTGCAGATTGTCAATGCATATTTTGCACACATTTTAAAAACACTTTTTCATGCACAGTTAAAAGAATCATACATTAAACTGGAAATGGAAGGGAACGGGCCTATAAGTGAACACACATGAAGGCAGCACAGAATGGAAATAGACTGATTCATCCATCACGAAAGGAACGTTATAGTCGCACAGAAACAAACCACCCACGGATGTGCGCTAGCAGGGAAGACTGGAGTGGCCTTACTGTGCTTTGCTTTGCTTTACTTGTTGGTTTCAGTCTAAGCTCCATCCAACATGGCTACAATTCTCTAAACTCACTCTTAAGTTTTCCTGAAAAGCAGCTGTAATAAATTGCATCTGGCAGTTCCTGTTAAGAATTTTTCTGACACCCAACCATGCACGTGTGTGCACGCACACACACACACGCACACACACAGAAAGAGAGAGAGAGAGAGAGAGAGAGAGAGAGAGAGAGGGCGCCCCTAGTAATAATAGAGGAAAAGATTAATTTTATGGGCTGAAGAACTGGATTTTAATGCTGCAATATATTTGATTATTTATATTACGCATCTTGTTTTTATTATTATATCAATTTATTCTGTAACCTGCCCAGAGAGCCATTTTGGCTAATGGGTGTGATAGAAAAATAATAAATAATGAACAGGGTGAAGTGGCATGGCTTCTGAACTTGAAGCTCTTTCAGCTGAGTTTCACAAAACTTTTAAGAAGTAACTGGAGGAAAAAAAGAATAATGAGCTTCAAAAGATCTTATGTTCAGGAGCTCTTTGAAAAATGTGGCTTGATTAATTAAGAGTTAGGGCTGTGTGTGTGTGTGTGTGGAGACAGAGAGGACTTGAAGTTCCATTAATGGATTAAGAAATGCTTCAGCAAGCCGTTGTAACTACAAGAAGGGGCAGCTTGTGTAGGGGCAGCCCTTTGACTATTGCAAGGTTAAAATCCATCCATGCTGCATTTCAAAAAGAAGGAAACTTAGAGTGACCAAGAGTCCCACTTAGAAATTGCTCTACTATCAATCTTCTGTTTTCACTAAGAAATTCTAAGCAATATGGGGTCAGGAAGGCAGGAAGATGGAGTAAGCTATCTTGGGTCCGTTGGAGAAAAAAAAGGGATATGTCTATGTAATAAATCTTCGGTTTGTCCAATGGGGTAAAGCTATATATTACTAGACAAAGCATGGACCACAATAATGAGGGAACATCTCTGCAAGCAAATATATATTCTCAGTTTGTCTCTCACTCAATTCTCCCCTGCAAATGCTGCTTTTAAAACTTCTTTCCTCCTCCCCATCCCAAAGGATGGAACATTACAGACTCTACAATTAGCGCTGGGCATTTGGGGTTCTTCCAGTTTCTACAAAAGTCTCCAGGCCAGACTTCCCTGCTGGAGAAGGAGACAGAAAAAAGTGCCTATAATTCTGCATAATGTCAAGAACGTACTAGAAAGTTGTTTTTCTCTTATTCTCATAAACGGGAACATGGGGTGATTCAATGAAACTGAACGGTGAGCAATGCAATGTAGAAAGATGCGAGTCTTGCTTCGCAGAATGTGTAATTAAACGATTTACTTCTACAAATGGTGGAAGCCTATGTGCCCACCAGGCAACAGGGCTAGCCCAGGGTACTTTGCTGCTGTGGCAAAGGACAAGATGATGGATATCTCTGTTCCTGGAGCAGAAGCCAAGGAGACTGGCAGAAGAATCTTATTTTGATGCTGGCAAGAAGGCAGCGTCCTTGGCTGCACCTCAGGTGGCCGGCTAGCTTGGCCCAGGGCAATATGATGCACACCGTTCTGCTCTCCAGCATTCTGCGTGCCGCTTCTCTTGCCCCAGGCAGCTCCCCCCCTCCCCTAAATGTGGCCATGCTACCTGGAGCAGCAGGCCCAGGCTTGCAGACAGCTTCAAAGGAGAGGGGTGTTAGTCGATTTATGATGATAATGTTATAAATAGATAACGAGGGGGAGGCAATACTTGGAGCCCAAGTGTTGTATTTCTCTACGGTCCTGTGATGGGTATGGCTGGAGTCAAAAGCAGGTGGAGCGTGCCCACAGATGCCTACTGTCTGCGCTCCCTGGATACTTTTGGGAGGAGCTCAAAATGTATCAAAATGTGCAAAAAATTAACGGGACTTCCTTTAAAAAAAAAATAGTGCTGGCTTCAGATTGTCTGAACTCCGCTGGCCCTCCAAAAATTTTCAGGCACATGGAAGGGTGAAAAATGCTGCAGAAGCAGTGATGTAAGCAACATGTATGCACACACGTGCTGGGCCATCTCATATTTTCAAGGGAGCTGATGGACAGAGCAGGCGCTGGCCTGATGGATGGCAGTCGGTGCAGGCCAGCCTGAAAAGCTTTTCAGACTGGGAGTGGTCTGGAGACCAGGAGTCCCATATCCCTTCCATACACTCTCTCCAAGATTAGCGGCAATTTTGGGATTCAGGTAACAGGCTAACCCTCTCTCGAGAGTTGATGGTGGGTTTATTTATGTAGGTTGTGGGTTGTCATTGAACAGCAGATTTTTGTTGAAGCATGGGCTATTGTGTTGCCTGAACCCAGTCATGCTAACAAACTGTGGTTGGTTAACTCCACACAACCTGAGGAAAGAACCTACATTTTGTTGTTGGGTTGTAAACCATGAATTAATCATAGTTAGCCAGCTTGTTAGCACAGCTGGGCTCTGACAACATGAAAACCCACAGTTCAACAACAGTCCACACTCAGCTATACCCATGTCTTGAATGTGGATTGTCGTGCTGTCTGAATTCACCCAATGCACCTTGGGATATCACTTGCTGGGGAACCACAACAGAAAGGACTAGTCCCTCTTGCCCTGCTAGTGAGCTTCCTGCAGGAAACTGGTGGTCACCCTGAGAAGCGCACCCCTGAACTAAAACTTCAGTGCAGGCTTATTCCTTCATCACAGCTCGCATAACAGCAGTTCATCAAAATCCTGAAGTCTCAGGTTCAAATCTATACTCAACCACAAAGCTTGGAATTAGGCGCTGGAGATCTTGTTAGATTTACTTCTGTAGTGGTAAGCATGTTTACGGTTGAATTTGTGGTTACATTTTAACTGTATGCAAACAAACCCCCAGAATTACACCATCACTCTGTGCCTCTTGTTCTAAGCGCCTGTATCAACACTGCTCTTTGGCCAACGAAGAGGCATGTTCTGTAACCAGGCGCTGCGACTGCAACCAGAGCGGTTCATTTTTCCCATGGGTGAACCATCTTTCTTCTTTGCACACAAATTGTAAGGGTAAGGTTTTAGTACATGTGTGTATGCAACTTGATATGTGATCATGATGAAGGAACATGCATAACACATCTCCAAGGGGTGTGTGTGTGCAACTTTTCTAAAAGGTCAAGTAGAAATAACTTAGCAGGTTAAGGAATGCACCGATTAATAATGCTAAGATCAGCCTTTGGCGTTTTGCCACTCCTGCAGTGATTTGTAAGCTGAGAAACTACAATCCGGAATAAGAGAAGTTGTAATTCCAGTTTAACTACAAGTGAATTCTGTTTTTTTTCCTGTGGGTAAGTACCTAAACTAATTCTTTGTTATGCAGAAAAACTTCATGGATTATTTTTGATATCATAAATTGTAAATAAGAACTCCATATGAATGTATTTACTAGCTCAGATATGGGATGTTGGGAAAATAATAGGTTTAAGTTAAAACAGCAGAAGTAAGAATCCATAATGAAAATTCAAAACTCAGATGGCAATCTCCTTAGTAATTTTGGGAAGAATCGTAGTGTTGTTTACAGCTTGGTTAATCTTGAACATGAGTCTGCCACCTTTCCCTCTTTATCCTGCTTTTCTGTCCTTAAAACCATCTTGGTTCACAAAAATTCAGCTGCTGAATCATTTCATAGCACTGAGATAAGGGTTGACAGGGCAGGAAATCTACTAGTTTAATTACTGAGTTTCAGACCAGTAAAGAAACACATAACAACCCTAGCAGAGATAGGCAAAATCTCTGAAATGTTGAAGCTGGATGTAAACATTATTAAAAAGTGCTGCAACATAATGTGAAAACTAAATGTGCTAAGGATGGAGAATAATTTCTCAGGATGAGATTAGTATAATCATAAACAGAAGTATTTAATGGTAAGATAAAACCTTTGAAGGCTGCAAGCCTACGGACACTTTCCTGGCAGTGAGTCCTCTTGAACTCAGTGGGGATTAGAGTCAACATGTTTCGGGTGCCTGCCATAGTTTCCCTTTCCAGATTGGCTGCAGCTCTGAATGAGCTGTTGGATTCTGTTGACATCCAACCTATTCTATTTTCAAGGTATTCCACACACCTTCCCTCTGCAGACAGAGAGTTATATGGATTCAGTCCTGATTGTCTGGTTGTGGCCAGTTTGGCTTTGCCCAGGAATGCTCAGATAGTGATTTCCGTATAATGTTGTTGGTCATAGACTAATACTTAACCAATTCCATCTGATTTCCTGAGAGCAAAGGACAAGGATGAACCTCTTTCAATTCAGGCACTGGTTTCAATCTGAGATAAGCACTTGGCGGTTACTACAGAGCAGTGGTGAGCCAGGATGAGACCAAAAGGTCAGGACAATACTAAAAATGCCAGGAGAGTTTAGCTTAAAGGAGCATATGACAGCCATCCAGCTCTAAGCTATTAGCAACGCTAGAATTAACAACAGCGTTAAGACAACAGAGCACATGAACAGTCCCCATCTGTTAATAGCTCCCATTTCCTAGCATTTTAGAGCTTGAGTGAATATGGAAAGTTCTTAGCACAACACGTTACACCCCAAAGTGTTTTTCTGCTTATTGAACATACCTGCAGCCCTGTCCCTAAGGCTCATGCCTTGTTTTCTGGAGTAACTTCTGAGTGATCTATAGGAGCCCATGTCTCATTATGAACCAATCTGGTTATTCAGATCTGCCAGGAAGCCCTCCAGGAGCACAACTGCCCACAAGGTTCATCTGGCAAAGGGCTCTCCCTTGCATCTCTCCCAAACTGGAATGTGCATCCTTCAGAGCTATGATGGTCCCCTGTTCTCTTGACCTTCTGGAAGGGTGTTAAGATACCTGCCTCTTTACACTTACTTTAAGCATGTGATAGTTTTAGGTGTAATACAGTGGAGATGTAGGACTGCAGGTGGCGCAGTGGTTTAAACCGCTGTGCTGCTGGGCTGGTAGATTGAAAGGTCGCCAGTTTGAAACTGCACAACGGGGTGAGTTCCCGCTGCTCCGTCCCAGCTCCTGCCAACCTTGCAGTTCAAAAGCATGCGAACACCAGTAGATAAAAAGGTACCACTTCGGTGGACAGGTAACAGTGTTCCGTGCACTTCGGTGTTCAGTCATGCTGGCCACATGACCACGGAGACTGTCTGTGGACAAACGCTGGCTCCCTCGGCCAGGAAACGGAGATGAGCACTGCCCCCTAGAGTCAGGCATGCCTGGGCTTCATGTCAAGGGGAAACCTTTACCTTTAGTGGAGATGTCTGTAGACCCTGGTGGCTTATGGTCATCCAACAGAGACTGAGAGAAGCAGCAAAGCTGATCTCCACTGCCCTGTACTTCCCTCTCTGCATTTTCTGTAGATGGGTTTTTCTTCCTGTCTACCTGGAACATTTTGAGAGGTAGAGAGAAGGAGGCTGGAGAGACACCAGATTGGCTCATATGCTGGCACTTTCAATCTCCTCACCTCTGGATCCAGAGGAATGCTTAATTCTCCCCGATTTCAAGGTGCCTTATTTGTTTGTTTGTTATATTTATATCCCACCTTTCTCCCATTGTGGAACACCAGGTGGCTACATGAGATTCCCAGGTGGTCTCCCCTACAAGCTCAGGCCAGCCCCAGACTTGCTTAGCTTCAGCATGGTGGATGCCTTATGTGACCTCAGACCATACTTCCCAACCTCAGAGAATGGCCAGCACAGTTCAGTCTACAGCAGCTGTGAAAGGAAGAGGGCTTGGAGTCTTTATGCCTGGCTCCAAGGTCAGAGAGCAGTACTCAGCCTTGGACTTGTAAATCCAGAATATTCTATGTCCCTTCAGATACTGTCTAGGCAGCATAGGATTAATTCCTTATTTTATATTTTTATGGTTTTACAGATTAAGTTTTAGTTGCCTACGTACCACCTTGGTGATTTCTTTTGGCAAAATGGGGTAGCAAGAAATATTAAACGAAGAAAAACTAGATGGGATGGAATTCAGTGGACACGCTGTACAGGCAACTGGTAGTCTGGGAGTCCTTTGGCACTAATTGTGAAAAAGGATCTGGCATAGGCCTTTTAATGACTGCTCCTCATACCTCTGGTGACCCACTGAATTCTCCTCATGCTCACTCACACAGTGGTGCAGATCAGTGGCTTTGGAGACCCCATCCTGCTTTCATGCAACATTTTCAACAGTGATCACAGTTTGATCTAGCCATCAGTCATCCACTGAAATACACTGCTTTGTAGATTAGCTCTTAAGCTGCCCTGTTACAGAAATGAAAATCAAACTGTTCTAATTGCAGCTGCCTTTTCTCTTTGCATTGCAGGCTTCTTTGACTTTGCCAGCTTCAAACCTACAGTGATGGACAAAAAAATTAACTGGCTACTCCTTATCCTGGTGCATGTTGCAACTGAAAGCAGCGAGGGATGCTACTGTGACCATTATCCATGGGTATCCTGGTCTAGCTGTTCAAAAACCTGTAATTATGGGACTCAAAGCAGGCATAGGTAGGTGAGACCCACCATTTGGATCACATAACAGGTACATTTTCTTCCAAGTTCCCTAATGGGAACATACCTCCTCAGAATTTCCTAAATCTAAATAATGACATGTATCTTTTACATGATGTTCCCTATTTATTCCCAATGCCTAGTATGTTGTAGATTCAGCATCTAACATGCAAGGGCCCTGCATTTTGTCCCAAAGTCTGAATTTAATTTCAGAGAAGCTCTCAGGGACAGCAACACAGCCATAGATGGTGCTGAAGGCCAATGGAGCTGGAGCAAAAATAGCAGCAGATCTTAACTTAAAATTCATACTTTTACAAGCTAACTCTTAGGAAAGACACTTCAGGATTTTAGAATGTGGTGGTGCAGGTGATGGGGAACTCTGCAAAAGTTAGGCAACCACCACTGGGTCATTAGTTGGAGGAAAGGGTGCGGCTCCATCCACTGCGCTTTGCCCATGATGGAAAAGGCACGCTTGGGTGCCGCTTCCAAGATTCCCCAGAAAACTGCAGGCACTGAGAGTAGGTGGTTCTTGGATCTGGAAAGCTGGTGTTCTGCCTGGCCTGTATAAGGATATAGTGCCCTGAAAGGTCAAGTGAGCTTCGCTGGGTTTACCAGTCCCAGAAAAGTTTAGTCTAGCCATAACAGTCCATGCTTTAGTAAGCTACAGGCTGGCGACTGCAATGCATCACACATGGGGCAGCTGTTCAAGACGACCTGGAAGCTTTGGTCAGTGCAGAACAGAGCTGCCAAAATGTTGACTGGCTCAGGCATCGTCATTCATAAGCTGTCAATTCATTTCTGAGCCCAACAAGTTGAGATGCTGCTGCTTTGCCTTTGGGGTTTAAACAGCTTAGGACCAAGTACTGCAAGGAATAGCTACCTACCTACCTACCAACCAACCTAAAACTTTTATAGACTGTTCCTTTACTAGTGTCTTGGGTTACCAGCCTCCCTATGTTTCCAGATCTTCTCTAACTGTTCTTCCTTTTACAGTGAGCTTTGGAGTGCCCACCAGGAACTAAGTCTATAGTTTGGTGGCATCAGGTTTAAGTCCTTCTTGTTTGCCCAGGCACTTGGAGAAAAGATTGCTTTCTTTGTTTTGAATATTTATGGAGCGGTTCTATGGATGTTTAGACACAAGCATGCTTTCTTTCTAAGGAGGCATACAATTACAGATTTAGACTGCTTTGGCTCTTTTTGAAATCTGCTTAATAGCGTGTTGTGCTCTGTTATGGCTATTTGTGCATGTGTGTGTATGTATACGTATCATTTCTATGATTGGGTGAATCATATAATTCATACTTTTGTCCACTGTCCTCTAATCTTTTTGTTAAAAGGTAGTTAAGAAATACTTCAAATAATACACACAATATGCCATTTCTACATTAATTTAATTGATTTTGGATGATGGTAGGGAAATTGTCAATAGGTATTTAACAAATATAGCCTGGGAACTGTCTACCATGTTCTGGGAATGTGCTGGCTGGATTGCTGTGATGAGGCTAGCTTTGAAGATGGTTCAAACTCCTGTTAGTTCAAAATAGAGCTGCTAGGTTATGAGCTGGGCCAGCCAATTTGAGCATGTAATACCTCTGCTTCACCAAGTGCACTGGCTTTCAGTCCATTTCCAAGTCCCATTCAAAACCAGGAAACATTAGCAGCCAGTGTGAAAATGAGCGTCACACGCAGGCAAGTAAAAAGGAATAAATCACCATGTACCAAGCCAATGAGGGACAGCATGTTCCAGTTTTACTTTGAGCCATTTGCTTACTGTTCAGTGCTCCAGGAGCATTTGGCTCTCTATTAACAGCGATTTACAGCAAGTGTTGCTGTAAATTGTGATCATTCAGAGAGCATCGGTTATTGGGTGGTACAGAAACATAATAAATTAATAAATAGTTAAAGCACTTCTGACCAAAGAATACATATAAGATTGTGTGGCAGGATGTTATCCAAGTCTTGCAGTAACAGTTCTTACAGTTCTACTTCGGGAACTTCTGAATTTGTTTCACTGCCATTGATATTAATATTCACTTCTATTTAAAATGAAAGTAGTAAAGTATTTAAAAACAACCGGTTACTCTTCCAGAGCATTTCAGGTTGTTTTAAAAGAGAATGTTATTTTAATGACCTCCACTTCTTTCTAGAATTATTACTATTACCACATTGCATTTATATCCCACCTTCTTTCCCTGTTGCGAGGAACCCAAGGCAGATTACATAGCTCCATTTTTCCTTACTACAACAACCCTGTGAGGTAGGCTGGGCTGAGAGTGAGTGACCCAAAGGCATGAGCAGGGACTAGTACCCAGATCCCTTGGGTCTTCTATCCAACCACAGCACACTGTCTCTCTTGTCTGGTTTGGAGTATGACAGTCAATGGTTTCAATATCAAGGAAGCTATCTGACCTCAGAATCGTGTGCCCGTATATAGTTTCTAACATATTGCCTCATTGTCAGTACTAATTGCTGTTTTGTAAATCTGGGTTCTTAGTCTTGACTTTCAAAAGAATCTGTCAGGATCAAAAAATACAAATGGAAATTCAAACATACAACTTTCAGTGCAGATAAAATTAATTTTGGTACGTGCCTCAGCCAAACTGATTAATTACATCTAATTAGTTGGTTCTATTTCCCCATTAAAAATCTGTGTATTAAGCTTTTCAATGTTTATCTCTTACCCAATATTTTTGGCTTGTTAATTGGTAAGTGAAAACTTTAAGTTCTGCTTGACCCTGAATGAAGTTTGACACCTCTGTCTTTCACATAATCCTTCCATCTTTTAGTGACACACTGTAACTCAGCATTTTCCCTTGGCATATTATCCACCCCTACTTTGCCAATTACACTTTGATAGCCGTTACCTGAAGTTCAATGTGAGCTCAGTTAGGGTGCTCAGTATCTTTCCTATTGGTGCCAATTACCTCATTATTTATTTAATTCTCTGCAATCCTCATTACCTTTTATGCGATAGAATAAATTGCCTGATTTGCACAGCTCCAAGGCAAGGTTTGCTGTGCTGTATGCCACTTTCTTCAGCAATATTCTTGAGCCCATTAAAGACTGTTCCACCAACTTTTTCTGGCAGATTTATGACAGGAGTGATCCACTTTTCTTTGCTGGTTTACTTATTGGCCAGCCTGGAATGCCTGTTTGCCTTTGCTTAATCCCTTTGCCAGCTTTCTGCTTCTGATTGCCCCAGCTGTCCCCCCTCCCCCCTGCATGGAAATAGAATAATGGAAGAGTAGAGCTGGAAGGGGCCATGGAGCCCATCGGGTCCAGCCTCCTGCTGTGGCAGGACACCACGTTACACCATCCCTCTCAGAGGGATGTCAGGTTTCTTTTTAAATGTCTCTAGTGTGGGAGAGACCACCACCTCTCTAGGCAGCTCTGACAGTGAGGAAGCTTTTCTTGATATTGAGCCTGAATCTGGGTTGCCGGAACTTGAATTGATTATTCCATGTCCTACATTCTGGCATCAGCAAGAAGAGATCTTGACCTTCCTCTTTGTGGCAGCCTTTGAGGTACTTGTAGAGGGATATCATGTCCCCCTTCAGTCTTCTCTTCTCTTCTCTTCTCTTCTCTTCTCTTCTCTTCTCTTCTCTTCTCAAGGCTGAACATGCCCTGTTCTCTCAGTCTCTTCTCACAGGGCAGTGTTTCCAAACTCTGGATCATTTTTGTTGCCCTTCACTGGAGCCTTTCTAATTTACCTGCATCTTTCTTAAATTTCGGTGCCCAGAACTGGACACAATATTCCTGGTGAGGTCTGAGTAGTGAGGAGTATAGAGGCACTACTACTTCTTGTGATTTGGAATTAATTCTTCTGTTAATGCATCCCAAAATAGCATTTGCCCTTTTGGTGGCCACATCGCTTTGTTGGCTCATGTTTAGCCTATTGTCCACAATTACTACATGATCTTTTTCTTTTTCAATTCTGTTCACCAAGTATTCCCCATCTTGTAATAGTTACAAGGACATCCATACATCCAGAACTCCACAAACCTACGTGAAAAACCTCCTTTGAAAACAATGTTCTCCTAAAACACTGCTTTAATAAAATGGAGTTCTGTTACATGTATGTATATATAGACGTGAATATGTAGTTTGTCTTTTGAATGATGTTTTTTCTCCTTGTATTCCTTCCCCTCATAGCTTAAGAAAATCCAAATTATTTTAGCAAAACTATTAAAAATACCATTCCTCTAGCAGGCCTAATCCATATTTTAACCATCCATCCCCAGTGGATAAAGGTGACTTCCATAGTTCAAGTCCATTTCTGGGATACCTGAGACAAAGTATGTCCAGCAGCTCCTTGTACATTGATCCTTTTCTGCTTCTTGCCCCCTTCAGATAGCAAATTCAAAGATGGTCATATTGTGGCACTTTGTCTGACAGGGTCTCCCGGCAACAGTGACACCTTTTGTGTTCTAGGGAAATAAGGATGGATGAGTACTACCACAAAAACTTCTGTGCTGGACTTTGCACCACTCAGGAATCCAGGGCCTGCAACCAGCAGATGTGCCCCATTAATTGCCAAATTGGAGACTTCGGCCCCTGGTCAGAGTGTGACCCATGTGTTAAAAAACAAGTAAGTACAATGGGAAGTGGGGGGTTCTGGGTAGAAAAGTGAGGCAGTGGGAAATAGGATTGGCCATTTGTGTCTTCCATAGCATGGAGAACAAAACTATTTTGGGCAAGACATAAGAAGGTTCTAGACTGTAGTTCAGTGGTGGAGCACATAGTTTCATGCAGAAGACCCCTCATTCAATCCTTGGAATCTCCACTTGAAGGATCATACTTTGGGCACATCATGAGAAGGTACGACTCACTGGAGAAGACAATCATGCTGGGGGAAGTTGAAGGTAGAAGGAGAAAAGGAAGACTAAATATAAGATAGATGGACTCCATTAAGGAAGCCACAGACTTGCATTTGGAAGAGGTGAGCATAGATAAGGAGGGCTTTCATTCATGAGGTTGCCATAAGTCAGAGATGACTTGATGGCACCTACAAATGAAAAGCTGGTGGTCTCTGTGTGTGTGTGTGTGTGTGTGTGTGTGTGTGTGTGTGAGAGAGAGAGAGAGAGAGAGAGAGAGA